TACATTGGTAAATATCAGATAAAAAATGATTCAATCAAAGGATGAGTTTTTAAAGATTCTTACATAGTAAGATGTGACAGTACCAGCAGAGTTTCCAGGGACAAGCTTGAGCTCCATAGAGATCTTACCGAACAAAAACTGATCTTTGGATTGAAAACCAGAGCCTGAAACTTTGTCAAGAGATAATGTAATGGCTTGGCCGTTTTCGAGTATCTTTGCTTTGTCGCTTCCCCATATAATGTCAACATCTTTTCTGAAATCACCTGCAAAGACTAATGAAGAACATGACAGGATTGACACAAAGATCAAGATTTGTGAGCAACCCATGTCTTGTTTTGGAAACTTTAATGATGGGTTGGGTTTGATTTTTTTTGTTTTTGTAAGAAATTTATGAAAGATATAGAGAGTATAGACATTAGAGAGTGACATTTGGGTGAAACAGAGGAATAGAAGGAGGAGATTATGTATTAAGAGATGGGCAAGTTTTGACTTGTGTGGAAACAGAGCAACATATGGAAAGTGAATCAAGCTATTGTTTGACACTTGTAAAAAAGTTAATGAAGGTTTAGTTTCAACAAGAGATTCAAAGATTCTTCTTTATCCGTGAGTTTAAAACGGCTGAGGTTTAAATTCTGTATTTACATGTGAAACCTATAAGAGAATCTAACTTACCTTTGAGAGCAAGTCAACTACAAGACGAGTGTGCGAGCGACGAGTGTTTTTCCGAAACTTAAACCCTAGCGGATGGAAGTTTTATGGGCTTTTAGTCCTTTATTTATGAGAAATTTAAAAAAATGTCACTTTTCAAAAATATCACATTTTCAAAAATTTTGCAAAAATGCCACTTTTTTAACAAAAAAAAACCATTATATCATTTATATTTGGGTTAACTATGTTGTATTAGGTTTTATTTTTGAGTGTTTAAAGAGTTTTAGGGGTCAAAACATTTTTTATGGTTTATAAATTTAAAATTTAAGTTTTAAAAATCCATAATTTGTGATATTTTTGCAAATAGACACTCCTAAATGGCATTGTTGCAAATGTATACACCAAAAGTGACATTTTTGCAATTGCTCTTTTATTTATATCGGGAAAATGCAAAAAAAAAAACCCTATATAATCTTTGTTTCACGTAATCTAATAAAAATATGGTGGTAATAAATATCTAAAAAAAGTTTCAAAAAAAATATATCTAAAAAATCAATTTATCAGAAAACTAAATTTTGAAAATAAGCGATGTATAGATGATAAAATGGTCTCTTTTTTTAAAAAAGGAAAGACAATGCTCTCTTTAGACGACGTCTTTTATCCTTCAATATTCAAACTCCAAAATAGAAATATATAAAATATTTAATCTAATTCGAGTCTAACTCGGAAGAAGTGATCCCTATTAGCGTAAACGATTATTTTCAATAAAGATCATGAACATTTTTTATTTTTGTGTCGTGCGCGTATACCTTTCGAATGAATCATACATTTTTCTCTGAACATTGATCATGAAAATTATTTCAAAATTCATATATGTAAATGTCAATTATATAAAAGAGAAAGAATTCAAAATCCCCGCAAAAACAATTATACTAAGATCAAACATACGAAAATTCGTTTACATATGAAATCTAAAACAACTAATTGGTTAAGAAAAAATATCTATACCAAAAATTAAAGAGAATGTAAGTTTTTTTTTGTTCTCCCTAATATCAAATCCTGATTTCTCGACTTTACGTACGAGTTGGGACTGCTCTTAGTATTAAGCATTGTTCAAAAACGCGGCCGCTTTGGCATTGTTCAAAGTGCTCGACGGCTCTGCACCGCCGCAATTTTACTATATTCGTTTAATTACGCAAAAAACTGAAAAATACCAGTTTTTGGTATATGATAGATCTACATTAATTATAGGTAAAATATCAAAAAAATGAAAGGAAATGATGCAAAAGGTGGAAAACAAAATAAACTGTAAAACGAGTAGGAGATAAACGAACCTTCATCTGTGACAAGAATATTAAAGCTTATCCACTGCACCACGTGAATACTATTGCCAATTGATAATACAAATATTAAATATAACTAAACTATCTAT